CACAACCCGACCCGACCCGTTGACCCGACCCGACCCGTTGACCCGACCCGACCCGACCCGTTGACCCGACCCGACCCGTTGACCCGACCCGTTGACCGTTGACCCGTTGACCGTTGACCGGAGTTGACCACTGTTGACCAAAACTTTGAATGGCTTTGATCGGGCATTAAACGACCTTTGACTTCGACCGAGTATACCTATCCTGACATTTTTCGACGTTCCAAATCCGATTCCGCTGTCCGTTTTTCGAAATTAGAACCCGAATGCCTCGAAATTGTCAGTCAAACCCGTTGACTTTGATTTTGACCGAAAATTCCAAATTTCCGAAAAGTCATATTTTATGCTTTCAACGTCCTGAATCCGAATCCGAAGTCCGTTTCGCCAAATTCGAACTCGGTAAGCCATCTTTCACTGATTTATCACCCGATTCGATCCGTTTATCGTAATTAAGCTCCGTTTCTGATATAATTTATGTTGATATGTATCTGAGGAATTATTGGAAGTTGAATTGAAGATCAAAGGCGTTCGAATGGAATTTTTATGGTCGATCAGTATTGCACGAAAATCGAGGTAATACTTTACTACCTCTTTATGTTTTATAGAACATGTTGGTATTGGTAAATGCATGAATGGAAATGTTTGGTCTTATATGTGTAATAAATGAAGATCTACACTAGATATGAATACGGTAGAAAATAGATAACTGAATATGGCTCAGATGATTATTATAAGAAATTAGAGGACAGTTGGAATTAAATTACAAGTTCTGAAATTAAGTGATAAAAGAATCAATCATGGATTGTATATTATAATTTATCTCATTAAAGGTACTTAGATGATAAATTATGAGAATATTTCGATTAGGTAAAATTACGAAATTACCCTTATGGTGGAAAATGACAAGAATTGTCTCTGGAAGTAGATTAATAATCTGAAAAGAATTATTGATCTGCTAAAACTATTCATGTGCATAAGGAAATGTTAGTTTTACTTGGAAATTATGGATAACCGGTTTTTAACACCAAGAGGGTTTATGCAAGATACTATAAGTCTGTTAAGGAATCACTTCAAGATCAGAGAAGGTTCGAGAAAGCAATTAATCATAAGATCTCTAAATTATATTATTTTCGTTAAAAGCTAATATCGAAATTATCTGGTTAAGAAATTACAGAAATACCCTTAAGAGATCGAATAGTCTGAGTTAACCCTGAATGAGAAAAATACTTAGAGGATTCGTACTTAAGTCGATTAAGTACAGATTTGATTGTTAAGATCATGACTTAGCATGAAAATTCATGATATTCCGTTTGTAAAATTTGAGAAGACACTTGACTCGAAAATATCCGAATAATGAGTAAATACTTGAAGAATAATTTAATGGGGGTATTTTGCTGTCAGAATTGTTCGAAAGGACTAAAGTAAAAGATATAATTGGAATTAATAATAAGACCGAATGGAGGAAAAAGATTGAAATACCGTGGATCTGTAAAATGACCAAAATACCCCTGTAATGGAAATGACTCAAGAATGTCACCAAGCTAAGGAATGATTGGATATCATCGAGCTCTGAAATGAATGGAATAAAACTGAACATCAAAATTACCAAAATACCCTTATGGCCTAAAGTAAGTAAATGTCTTGGATTAATTAAAGAATCCAAATAAGCATAGGTATTGGCCTACCTTTAAAAGTAATTGAACACAATTTAAGTGAGTAGATCAACCCTAAAGCTATGTCAATACCTGAATGACATAGATATTACTGGAATGCGTGTTCGTCTTCTTAAGTTTGACTCGATGATAAATTTTAGAAGTATTCAACTTAGTTCAACTCTGGATCGCATTCAGTACTAAGAATTGGATGTTTGCACGACAAATCAGCCACAAAGACCAAATTGAATGTAACGGAAGTGCAACATGTGTCTGAAAAATCAGGAACGCTTGAATTACTCTGGAAAATCCCGAAGTATCTGGAATGGACTTGAATGCTAAATAAATTAAGTAACCACAAGGACTGAGGATTGAATAAGTGAGTTGGATGAATCTGGAAATGTTAATGAACATATATGATGTAATGTTCTTATGGATTATGAATTACAAAATCAAGTACGTCAGTATTTCATGATATGGTGAAAACGTGAACATGAAATAAAGACATTAGAAGATTTATTCAACGTTAATTTCGAAAATGAAATATGAACAAGAATTTGTGGTATTAAAGGGTAAATACCCTGGAAGGAAAATGAATTGACCAGTCGACATAGATTGTTAAGGTTATGAATCTTCGTTCTCAAGTTGTTCGATTATCCGATCAATTGACATGGATGTAAAGGATTCTGAATACCCTTCTGATTACGTACAACTTCTGAAAATTGTCCGAATAAGATATGATCCTGATAATTCACATTCTGAATAACTGATGATTCCGTCAGTTATTGAACTTTTTACAATAGTGATTCTAAATTCCGACATTCTATCGGTATACTGAAGATCCATATTTCTCTACTTGCTAAGATTATCCAGTACCTTTGAATAATATTTGTAAACTCTGGTGTGTTCCCTACTTATATGAATATTTTATCTGATTTCTGATTTGAATTCTGTTTTGACATCTGATCTGAAATCTGTTCTGATTCCTAACCTGGATTCTGTTCTGATATCTGATCTGAATTATGTTTTGATTTCTGATATCTCCGTTTACCGACGGATAAATGTTTTATCTGGGGGTTTATTGTTGGAGGAAGATTATCTGCAGACTCCTCGGCTTTGTGCTCAGGGTCTAAATGGCATGTGCGGTTGGGTGTATGGTTCTGGGGAACCTACACATTTATGATGTGAACGGATGGGGGTATATATATATATGTTTTAAAAGATCTGTATCTTTTTACTGAATTTTTCGAGAACACACTAGAAAACCTATTCTGATCTCCTCAACTCAGTCATCCGAATATTTCTCTGAACTGAAAGCTCATTGTCCGTTACCACCCGAAATATCAGTAGAATCTCTGCTCAGCATAAAAATATGTAAATGCTCAGAAGCAATAAGGAAATAAATATTTATCTGTATCTGCACGTTCATCAGCATCATCTGGTAGTTCTGTATTACTGAGCTTTCCAAAGCTCACTCTATTACTCACCTTTTCAGGTTAAAAGAATTGTACCAGTGCATCTATCGACTTCAGTAAGGGAGTTCTTCCGGCGTTGTTGCAGAGTATGGTACATGTGATTAGGGGGCATGTAATTGTATTTTGATTTATATACGAGTCTGGAAATATGTTTTATTTTTAAATAGTGACAAATGATTTTATAAGTTTACATGTTCTGATAAAAAGATTTAAATTTTTCGCTATTTTTACAATGGGTCGCTCCGGTGGCCCTAATGTGACTTCCCGGATCGGATCGGGCTACCCTTATCGGTCTGTGGGGGTTACATTTAGTGGTATCAGAGCTATGGTTTTGAGTCAAAATTTTCAAGATAGACCGGCCGGTCAAATGTCAAAATATGTCTGATCAGTACATGCCCCTAGACTGCAATCGTACCTCTCTGAGCCGGAACTCCAGGGCTGAGTCCCTATCTGTATTGAGTAAACCAAAGTTTCTATCTGCTAAGACTATACTTGTACAAAAAGGAATACCAGTAACATCTGTCTAAACGCTGTAAAGTATCTCATGAGCCATGTGAGAGTTATTCATCTGAGAATTTCTGACTCGACTCCGGAAATGAAATTGAGATATGTTGCTGCTCTACGAGCCTATTCACGTATCCAATGCTGAATTGATTTCACAAGAATAAAGTTGTTCTGATTATTTACTTGGACTGAGGGAGAATTCTGAAGAGATTGATTACTCGAGAAAATTTTAAATTCTTTTATTGAAATAAGGAAAATTTATGATAAGAATGTATGCTCAGTTGGTTAAGGATAAGTGGATGAATCGTACTTTTATAAAAGCTATTGATAGATTTGAAAGAACTGATGGAAGTTTCATTTATGCAATTATGTGACATGAATGAATTTCGAGGACGAAATTTTTTTTAAGGAGGGGAGAATTGTAACACCCCAATTTAGGGGCTAAATTTAAGAAAATATAAATTGGTGGATTTAATTTGGTATTTTGAAAGAAATAAGGGATTAAATTGTAAGATTTCAAAGTTGATAGACCGTTTTAAGAAGTGCATGAAGTTCAGTGGCTAAACTCTTGGTTTAGCCATTTTTAATTATGAGATGTTATAAACCCCCAGACTCCCGTATGTTTCTGGAAAATTTCCAGTTTTCCTCTCCCGTTCTCCTACTTCCAACTCCGATCTACTCGTCGTCCACCTCCAAACGACAAGCCGAAACAACCATCGTGTTCGTTGTCAACCGAGGACAAAACCCCTCAAACCTTTCGTCGTGAATCATCGCCGTTCGTCGTGAATTTCAGTCGGAAGTATCGTCGGTAATAACTCGGTTTTTAGTTGGTTTTTCATCGATTCACGACGATGGGTCATCCGTTTACGACACCTCCCACACCATCGTGTTCCTTGTGCCGTTCCGAGTCCACCGGTGTTCTTCTTTTTCTCCGGCGGCGTCGGCGCGTTGGGAGGTGAACCGGTCAAACTTCCCGATTTGTTGAAATCGAGCTCTCCGCCGTTCAAAATTGTGAACCGAGCTTTATAAGTATCTCGAAATCGCTTAAAATAATTTTTAGAAATTTTCGGATTTTATCACTGTTCACGCCCCCACGCGCCGCCATGCGCGTGGGGAAGGGAAAAGTGACCGGTTTGACCGGTTTTGGAACTGTTTTGACCGTTTGACGGTCACAACCCGACCCGACCCGTTGACCCGACCCGACCCGACCCGTTGACCCGACCCGACCCGTTGACCCGACCCGACCCGTTGACCCGACCGTTGACCGTTGACCGGAGTTGACCACTGTTGACCAAAACTTTGAATGGCTTTGATCGGGCATTAAACGACCTTTGACTTCGACCGAGTATACCTATCCTGACATTTTTCGACGTTCCAAATCCGATTCTGCTGTCCGTTTTTCGAAATTAGAACCCGAATGCCTCGAAATTGTCAGTCAAACCCGTTGACTTTGATTTTGACCGAAAATTCCAAATTTCGGAAAAGTCATATTTTATGCTTTCAACGTCCTGAATCCGAATCCAAAGTCCGTTTCGCCAAATTCGAACTCGGTAAGCCATCTTCACTGATTTATCACCCGATTCGATCGTTTATCGTAATTAAGCTCCGTTTCTGATATAATTTATGTTGATATGTATCTGAGGAATTATTGGAAGTTGAATTGAAGATCAAAGGCGTTCGAAGGAATTTATGGTCGATCAGTATTGCACGAAAATCGAGGTAATACTTACTACCTCTTTATGTTTTATAGAACATGTGGTATTGGTAAATGCATGAATGGAAATGTTGGTCTTATATGTGTAATAAATGAAGATCTACACTAGATATGAATACGGTAGAAAATAGATAACTGAATATGGCTCAGATGATTATTATAAGAAATTAGAGGACAGTTGGAATTAAATTACAAGTTCTGAAATTAAGTGATAAAAATCAATCATGGATTGTATATTATAATTTATCTCATTAAAGGTACTTAGATAATTATGAGAATATTTCGATTAGGTAAAATTACGAAATTACCCTTATGGTGGAAAATGACAAGAATTGTCTCTGGAAGTAGATTAATAATCTGAAAAGAATTATTGATCTGCTAAAACTATCATGTGCATAAGGAAATGTTAGTTTTACTTGGAAATTTGGATACCGTTTTTAACACCAAGAGGTTTATGCAAGATACTATAAGTCTGTTAAGGAATCACTTAAGATCAGAGAAGGTTCGGAAAAATACTTAGAGGATTCGTACTTAAGTCGATTAAGTACAGATTTGATTGTTAAGATCATGACTTAGCATGAAAATTCATGATATTCCGTTTGTAAAATTTGAGAAGACACTTGACTCGAAAATATCCGAATAATGAGTAAATACTTGAAGAAGAAATTTAATGGGGTATTTTGCTGTCAGAATTGTTCGAAAGGACTAAAGTAAAAGATATAAATTGGAATTAAATAATAAGACCGAATGGAGGAAAAAGATTGAAATACCGTGGATCTGTAAAATGACCAAAATACCCCTGTAATGGAAATGACTCAAGAATGTCACCAAGCTAAGGAATGATTGGATATCATCGAGCTCTGAAATGAATGGAATAAAACTGAACATCAAAATTACCAAAATACCCTTATGGCCTAAAGTAAGTAAATGTCTTGGATTAATTAAAGAATCCAAATAAGCAGGTATTGGCCTACCTTTAAAAGTAATTGAACACAATTTAAGTGAGTAGATCAACCCTAAAGCTATGTCAATACCTGAATGACATAGATATTACTGGAATGCGTGTTCGTTCTTAAGTTTGACTCGATGATAAATTTTAGAAGTATTCAACTTAGTTCAAACTCTGGATCGCATTCAGTACTAAGAATTGGACGTTTGCATGACAAATCAGCCACAAAGACCAAATTGAATGTAACGGAAGTGCAACATGTGTCTGAAAAATCAGGAACGCTTGAATTACTCTGGAAAATCCCGAAGTATCTGGAATGGACTTAAATAAATTAAGTAACCACAAGGACTGAGGATTGAATAAGTGAGTTGGATGAATCTGGAAATGTTAATGAACATATATGATGTAATGTTCTTATGGATTATGAATTACAAAATCAAGTACGTCAGTATTTCATGATATGGTGAAAACGTGAACATGAAATAAAGACATTAGAAGATTTATTCAACGTTAATTTCGAAAATGAAATATGAACAAGAATTTGTGGTATTAAAGGGTAAATACCCTGGAAGGAAAATGAATTGACCAGTCGACATAGATTGTTAAGGTTATGAATCTTCGTTCTCAAGTTGTTCGATCCGATCAATTGACATGGATGCAAAGGATTCTGAATACCCTTCTGATTACGTACAACTTCTGAAAATTGTCCGAATAAGATATGATCCTGATAATTCACATTCTGAAAACTGATGATTCCGTCAGTTATTGAACTTTTACAATAGTGATTCTAAATTCCGACATTCTATCGGTATACTGAAGATCCATATTTCTCTACTTGCTAAGATTATCCAGTACCTTTGAAATATTTGTAAACTCTGGTGTGTTCCCTACTTATATGAATATTTTATCTGATTTCTGATTTGAATTCTGTTTTGACATCTGATCTGAAATCTGTTTGTGCTCAGGGTCTAATGGCAGTGCGGTTGGGTGTATGGTTCTGGGGAACCTACACATTTATGATGTGAACGGATGGGGGTATATATATATATATGTTTTAAAAGATCTGTATCTTTTTACTGAATTTTTCGAGAACACACTAGAAAACCTATTCTGATCTCCTCAACTCAGTCATCCGAAATACTCTGAACTGAAAGCTCATTGTCCGTTACCACCCGAAATATCAGTAGAATCTTGCTCAGCATAAAAATATGTAAATGCTCAGAAGCAATAAGGAAATAAATATTATCTGTATCTGCACGTTCATCAGCATCATCTGGTAGTTCTGTATTACTGAGCTTTCCAAAGCTCACTCTATTACTCACCTTTCAGGTTTAAAAGAATTGTACCAGTGCATCTATCGACTCAGTAAGGGAGTTCTTCCGGCGTTGTTGCAGAGTATGGTACATGTGATTAGGGGGCATGTAATTGTATTTTGATTATATACGAGTCTGGAAATATGTTTTATTTTAAATAGTGACAAATGATTTTATAAGTTTACATGTTCTGATAAAAAGATTTAAATTTTCCGCTATTTTTACAATGGGTCGCTCCGGTGGCCCTAATGTGACCCGGATCGGATCCGGGCTACCCTTATCGGTCTGGGGGTTACATTAGTGGTATCAGAGCTATGGTTTGAGTCAAAATTTTCAAGATAGACCGTCGGTCAAATGTCAAAATATGTCTGTCGTACATGCCCCTAGACTGCAATCGTACCTCTCTGAGCCGGAACTCCAGGGCTGAGTCCCTATCTGTATTGAGTAAACCAAAGTTTCTATCTGCTAAGACTATACTTGTACAAAAAGGAATACCAGTAACCCTGTCTAAACGCTGTAAAGTATCTCATGAGCCATGTGAGAGTTATTCATCTGAGAATTCTGACTCGACTCGGAAATGAAATTGAGATATGTTGCTGCTCTACGAGCCTATTCACCCAATGCTGAATTGATTTCACAAGAATAAAGTTGTTCTGATTATTTACTTGGACTGAGGGAGAATTCTGAAGAGATTGATTACTCGAGAAAATTTTAAATTCTTTTATTGAAATAAGGAAAATTTATGATAAGAATGTATGCTCAGTTGGTTAAGGATAAGTGGATGAATCGTACTTTTATAAAAGCTATTGATAGATTTGAAAGAACTGATGGAAGTTTCATTTATGCAATTATGTGACATGAATGAATTCGAGGACGAATTTTTTTTTAAGGAGGGGAGAATTGTAACACCCCATTTAGGGGCTAAATTTAAGAAAATATAAATTGTGGATTTAATTTGGTATTTTGAAAGAAATAAGGGATTAAATTGTAAGATTTCAAAGTTGATAGACCGTTTTAAGAAGTGCATGAAGTTCAGTGGCTAAACTTGGTTTAGCCATTTTTAATTATGAGATGTTATAAACCCCCAGACTCCGTATGTTTCTGGAAAATTTTCCCGTTTTCCTCTCCCGTTCTCCCTACTTCCAACTCCGATCTACTCGTCGTCCGACCTCCAAACGACAAGCCGAAACAATCGTGTTCGTTGTCAACCGAGGAACAAAACCCCTCAAACCTTTCGTCGTGAATCATCGCCGTTCGTCGTGAATTTCGTCGGAAGTATCGTCGGTAATAACTCGGTTTTTAGTTGGTTTTTCATCGATTCACGACGATCGGGTCATCCGTTTACGACACCTCCCACACCATCGTGTTCCTTGTGCCGTTCCGAGTCCACCGGTGTTCTTCTTTTCTCCGGCGGCGTCGCGCGTTGGGAGGTGAACCGGTCAAACTTCCCGATTTGTTGAAATCGAGCTCTCCGCCGTTCAAAATTGTGAACCGAGCTTTGTAAGTATCTCGAAATCGCTTAAAATAATTTTTAGAAAATTTTCCGGGATTTTATCACTGTTCACGCGCCCCCACGCGCCGCCATTGCGCGTGGGGAAGGGAAAAGTGACCGGTTTGACCGGTTTTGGAACTGTTTTGACCGGTTTGACCGGTCACAACCCGACCCGACCCGTTGACCCGACCCGACCCGTTGACCCGACCCGACCCGTTGACCCGACCCGACCCGTTGACCCGACCCGACCCGTTGACCCGACCCGTTGACCGTTGACCGGAGTTGACCACTGTTGACCAAAACTTTGAATGGCTTTGATCGGGCATTAAACGACCTTTGACTTCGACCGAGTATACCTATCCTGACAATTTTTCGACGTTCCAAATCCGATTCTGCTGTCCGTTTTTCGAAATTAGAACCCGAATGCCTCGAAATTGTCAGTCAAACCCGTTGACTTTGATTTGACCGAAAATTCCAAATTTCCGAAAAGTCATATTTTATGCTTTCAACGTCCTGAATTTCGACGTTCCAAATCGATTCTGCTGTCCGTTTTTCGAAATTAGAACCCGAATGCCTCGAAATTGTCAGTCAAACCCGTTGACTTTGATTTTGACCGAAATTCCAAATTTCCGAAAGTCATATTTTATGCTTTCAACGTCCTGAATCCGAATCCAAGTCCGTTTCGCCAAATTCGAACTCGGTAAGCCATCTTTCACTGATTTATCACCCGATTCGATCCGTTTATCGTAATTAAGCTCCGTTTCTGATATAATTTATGTGATATGTATCTGAGGAATTATTGGAAGTTGAATTGAAGATCAAAGGCGTTCGAATGGAATTTTTATGGTCGATCAGTATATTGCACGAAAATCGAGGTAATACTTTACTACCTCTTATGTTTTATAGAACATGTTGGTATT